GAAGGAAGGAAGGAAGGAAGGAAGGAAGGAAGGAAGGAAGGAAGGAAGGAAGGAGAATGAATGAGAAGGGGAAACTAAATAATTATGGCCAAATATTGCTAGCTCCATCTTTTGATAACCCCTAGTTACATTCAGATGGAACATTACAGTGCAATTGGATGGCCAACCTTAAAGGAGCTTTTAAAAGGTTTAGATCAGCGTTCCAAGGACCCCGGTGGTCCCCCAACCCTTCTCAAGGGTTCATGAAATCAAAATTATTTGCCAGATATTGAAAATATTTGAAAAAGTTAAAACAGTGCCACTCTTCTCATTATTATTTTTTATTTGTTAAAAAATACAGGGTTTTTTCACGAAAAATGTTTTATTTGTTAATAGCTAATGGGTTTAATACTGTTATTTTTACATGATTCAATAAATAAATATTCTATGAATGCATCTATACAGTAAATATTGGTAAATATAACCCATACAAACAAAAACTCTTTTGGGGTCCTCCATAATTTTTAAAACTGGGAAGGGGTCCTGAGAGCAAAAAGTTTGAGAAACGCTGGTTTAGATGATGCCGAATGCAGATCCAAGGAGATCAGTAGACGCACCACCATATTATCAACCTACACCAGGCAATCGGTGGTCAAGTGGTTGCCCTTCTTTTCTACAGGATCCAAAGCTCCAAAGGATACAGCAGATGCTGTGATGTGACTAAAGAGGGTGGGGACAGACTGTTTGGCTTTTCTACCACCTCTCTTTTAGGGGCATTTGGGAGAGGCTCCACAAAACCTGTAACTTCTTATTTGCAGAAAAAAGAATTGGAATAGTACTCTGGTCATTATTTGGCAGTTGGCTGCCATGTGGTTCACATCTGCTGCTAAATTTTAAGGCATCAGGCTAGAAACTGGGAGACCGGGAGTTCTAGTCCCACCCGAGGCACGAAGCCAGCGGGGGGACCTTGGGCCAGTCCCTCTCTCTCCCACATGGGAAGAAGGAGGAGGAGGCCAGGGCAAACCACTTCCAAAAACCTTGCCAAGAAAACTGCAGGGACTTGTCCAGGCAGTCGCCAGGAATCAACCCTGACCACCCCCCTCAAACAATACTTTGCCTTATTTCACGATTTTTCATTGTTTTAAACTGTTGATCCTGCCTCCCTGACTTTTTTTTTAATGGATGGTTTCATCAAAATAGAATCTTTCAATGTTGCTAGCTGCCTTGAGTGACTATTTTGCCTGAAAACAATGAGAGGTAAATACTTTAAAAAAATTAAAATGAATGAGTGAAGTCTTGAAAAAGTCAACCATCAGTTCCCCAGGTCCAGATTCTGAAATTCTCACCCTGTGTTTAAATATCTATCCTTTGGTGCAAATGTGAAATGCAAAGGCTTGCAGCTATGTGTGGGGGAGAGGTCATTGCAGGACATTGCGGGACATTGCAATAGCGTTCCCTTCTGTCCCTTCTGCTCAGTTTTAAGTCTTTAACTGGGTTTGGCAATTTGCAAGCCAGAGGCTGTGCGTGGCCTCAGAACCCCAAGTTTACAAAGATTGCATCTCCAAAATTTAGCAACACATTTCTGACAATTTGTTTTGCTTTATAAAAGAAAACTAATGCTGAATATAGGAATGTTAAGCTTCTGATAAATTTAATCTGACTTAACTTGAAAACATATGTGAATGACCAAGTACACTATAATCTTTGGAGGATTTCCCCCCCCTCTGGTTTACATGCAACCTTTAGACGCTTAAGTGCTACTGCTATAGTTGAAAATGTACCCAAATTTCAAGGGTAAAATTCAGAGAAACCTATCCTTTACAAAATAATGTAAAATTAATGGAATTACTGCTATATTTAATAGATTTCAGGGATCCTAGTCTTTCTTTTCCTCATCCTGTTGGCCCTCTTGTTACTTGGGATCCTTTCTAATGCAGGTTACACTTTGGGGGCCTTGGCCAGTTGACGGATGGGGTGGTAGGACTGGATGACTTCACCCAAGCCAAAGAGCTGCGTGTTTGGCCCGGGTACGACTACGTGGGCTGGAACAAAAGCTCTTTTCCTGACGGCTTCATCAAGATGGAGTTTGAGTTTGACCGACTCAGATCCTTCACGTATATGAAGGTAACAGCATTTTTCTGGAAAGACCCATTGGGCACGAAGAACGTGGCAGAATTGATGGGCTTGGACAATTAAAGGACACCACTCGTGATGCTAGATTAGGGAAGTGAGTATGTTTGTGAGAGACAGGAAACAGAGCAGTGGAAATGTGGAAGTTTAGGGCAGAAAGGCAGAGTGGTCTAACCTAGTGAAAAGCATCCAAGAAGAACTTTGTGCTGAAAGCAGAAGAGAAAGAAAGAAAGAGTTCAGAAAGGATGTATATTTTCCTTCATCCTTTTTTTTAATGGAATTGGAGACGCCGTTCAGCTGTTAAGTACAGCTTTTCAAGTCTATAGAGTCACGTTCCCTCCAAGCCCCTCTGATTCCTCTGAATGTTTTCTTTATCACAATGGAAAATGTCCTTTTCTTTATCACAATTGAAAATGTCTGTTGCCCAAGACTTCTCGGACCCACTAGCAGCACCCATTGGATTAGGTCAGATGGTCTGTCGGTGTGATTCTTCAACGAGCGCCTTGTATAGATCTTTAGACATATTGAAAGAAGCTTGCCAAGAAAGGGGAACGAAATGCCTGAGAGCGGGGCAAAAATAATGGGATTTAAACTACAATAAGATGGATAGTTGAAAAATAAGGAACATTATGGCCTGATGTTAGCACTCCCTCCCCATCTGCATCTTTCTACGTGTGTGGGTGCTGTGCAAAAATATCTGAGTGGTTGTCGTGATGGGAAATTATGCAGGGAAAGATGGAGGGTGGAATGACAATGAAGGGAACGCATAGAGCTGTAAGTTCTACTCAGTCCTTGTAAGTACCAAATACAGGAAGGGCCAAGAAGGAATGCCAGAGCTTCACTGGCTCTGCCTTGGCTGGCAGCACTACTCACACTCCAAAAGGGGTTGCTTTCTGCACGGGTAGAGTTTCCAACGTAAGAGTGGGGATTCTGGTGCCTCTGGGAGAGACTTGACCAGGAAGACCCCTACTGATGACAGCTTAGCACACATCATCACCTGGGAGCATGGCCAGCACCAGTGGGACCATCAAGTGGGTGCAGCGAGCATCGAACGGGTGGGTCTCATTCTGCTAGAAGATTAAAATGGGAGGAGAACGAGCATGTTTCAGAGTTGACTATCATTTGTGTCATCCTGTCTTCCACTTCCCGTTTTCCATTTTTTCTCCTGCTCCACCCCGACCTCTCCAGGTTCATTGCAACAATATGCACACACGTGGTGTGAGTGTCTTCCGGCAGGTGGACTGCCTCTTCAAGCACAGCCTTGCCACAGCTTGGGAGCCCGCCCCTGTCTCTCAACAGTTTGTGGTGGATGTCAGAGACCCCAGTGCCCGCTCCCTCACTGTGCCCCTGGGGGGACGAATCGGCCTGTTTGTCCAGTGCCATTTTTACTTTGGTGACGAGTGGATGCTCTTCAGTGAAATTGCCTTTCTCTCAAGTGAGTTGGGTTTGGGTGACTGCTTGAGGCCGGTAGCCCAAGGGTGGAAGGTAGAGTGAGTCCTTCGAGGATCTGAGGTCATTGTTGTTACTCATTATTCCCCGTCATATTAGAGTTTATATGCAAATGGTCTAGGTTCAATACTCCATGATTTTCACTTGAAGGTGTCTCAGGGGCCCTCTTGGGAAAGAAAGACCCTTATCTGAAACTTTGGAGAGCTTCTGGAGAAGATACAGTTTTGGACCCAAGGCTGGATCAGAAGAATGCAGCTTCATATTGCCTCTTAGTTTCAGGATGATTTTTAGTCTGTCCCAGAAACTTAGATAATTGAAGTTTGATTGCCATTGCACTCAAGGAGTGATAGGAAGGGGAAGAGAGAAAGCTCTGAAAGTAGGGAGAATCTCTCTCTTTTTTCCCCATTGCTTTATGGAGAGTTTTGCATTTGTTCCAGCTGCTTGCAGCTGTTGTCCTGCCTGGAAGAAAAGGAGAAAAGACAGTGCCAGAGAGCTGGGCATTCCTTCCATGCCTGAAGGAAGGGAACGAAGTGGACCTTCTGCAGCTGCAACCAACAGCCAGACTCTGGCATTTATTCCAAGCTGTATCCACTTTTCAGCTGGTTTCATGGGAGGGCTGGGAGCATGGCTAGGAGATGACATGGCATTTTCCCCAATTTACCTCCTGAGAAATACTATTAGAAATGTTCTTTTTCCCATCGGTTCTCCCTCTGTATGTTCTGGACATCTGTTACAGATCTGGGAAGCCCACCTGCTGTTTCTTCAGACCAAAGAGCAGCAGGGTAGGCGGTCAATAGGATAGGAGACTGGCAGGTTGCAGGGAGGATGCTTAACCACCAAACTTGCCCCAATAACTCAACCTTCCCCTTGCAAGAACATAAGGCTAGTCCAGCTGGTTTAACCCAGGATTTTGTTCCTACTAGTGGGCCCATAGATGCCTCTGGGGTGCTTGCAAACAGGAGATGGAGGCTTCTGTCTCTCTGGCCTTTGTTCCCCCCAGCCAGGAGGTGCTATTGGAACTTCAAGATTAACAGTCATTGATGGACCTGTCCTCCATGAACATCTCCAGTCACCCTTGGAAAGCTGTTCAAGCTGGTGGCCACCAATATACCTTGTGGCAGCAAATTCCATGGATTGATGATGTGCGGTGTGAAGAAGTGCTTTCTTTGATCTGCTCCAAGTCTCCTCTTCTTATTGCCTGATGTTCCATACCTGATTCCACAAACAATGGTTGGAAGAAGCAGGAAGGAATTTGTGGAGGAAAAACTGCCAGCAAGAAAGGAAGGGTTAAATGATCTCCTTGCACGTCCTCTAGATCTGCTTATCCCCATTTCCCCACACTGAAGCTATGGCTAAATTTCCTAGGTCCACTACGAATTTTACATATGTAAAATTTCATAAATGGATAAAATTGCATCCATTTTATCCAATTCCTTCCTGCTTTTGTTCAATGCCATGTCTTCCTTCTGGTTTTGCAGCCCAGTTGATGGATACCTCCTTTTCTCTTTCCTTGTTCCCATTCCCTTTCTGTTTTCTTCCCATCCAGATGTTATGGATGACCCCTCCCTTGCTGTTTCAAGTCACTACCCCCCAGTGGTGGCCCCACCTCACCCTTCAGGCCGCAACTTTCCCATCTCTCCAGCTCTTGGTTCTGCACTCAATGAGAAAACCGATGTCACCTCAAACCTCACCGAGGCAGGTGAGTGGCTTGCAAATCAGAGAGCAGAGCCATAATGTTCTTCCACTACCACCACCACCATAAAAAAGTAGTCATGTATTTCTAAAGCACCCTCTTGACTTCTTTTTCTATGTTTCTTTCCTCATAAGACCTTGAGGGTGAAGGAGAAGCGAAATCCGGCCAGCCAGTTGCAAAAGATGACAACAGCAACACCTCCATCTTGATTGGATGCTTGGTGGCCATCATCCTACTTCTCCTGGTTGTCATATTTTTCATTCTCTGGCGTCAATATTGGCAAAAGATTTTAGGAAAGGTAAGACTGGCTGATTTAGGAAAAGGGTGCATCTGTTTGAAAGACCTCTTGTTCAGTCAGAGGTCTGTTGGCCAAAGCGCAGTTCCCATCTGTTACCTACTGAGAAGGCTCATTTTTACAATGTGAGAGGGAAGGGACGTTGTCCATTTTTTGAAAAATGTCATTTATTTTAATTTCTACAGCTGCCCATCTCAACCAAGTGACTCTGGATAATGAACAATCATAAAAACAATTAAAACAATTACAATACAGTACAAAATAAATATATATGACAGCTGAGAAAAATTATCCCATAATTATCAGTATAGCCAGGAAACAGGGCCCTTACCACATTCGGGGCCCAGGCCCGGGCACATAACCAGGTCTGTAGGGTCTTACGAAAGGCCAACTGGGCAGAGGTCATCCTAATCTCTGAAAGGAGAATGTAGAGAAGTCCACCCTGTGTTCTAGTATGATACATGGATCAAGGAGAGAGAGTACCGCAGTAGTAGAGCTTTTTAGGTAAAAGTAATCAGATTAAATCCTGGTCTCTCCAGTTTCAGGTTTCTGAGAGCTGATATGGGAAGGATTCTACCATCACCTGCTAAAAAGACCAGAAACAACTGATGGGTACCCCAGCCAGTCAAGAGAAACATTACTGATCTACAAGGATAAGAGTCATCAAGGCAGCTTTCTAAGTTGTCTTCTGCTAGGGATAGGCTACGTCAGGGGTATCCTCAGGTCTTGCAGCTTTTGTGAGAGTAATGAAAATAGAGTTGTAGCATCACGCTGTAAGCTCCACCCCTTGGAAGCCCATGTGCAATGTTGTGATGCATATAGAAAAGGGGTGGAGGTTGTGTTGTGATGCTGCAGCACTCCATGCTCGCTTTTACCACTATTGTCTCCCACCCCCGGATGCTACTGGGCAACATTTTTTTCTGGACCCAAGATAAAATAACATTCAATTAAAATAGCTTAAGTCTAGCAGCTGGTCTGTCATTGATCTTGGCATCAGGAGGCCTCAGTAGAAGCTTCTGAGGAATCCCTAGGAAGCCATCAGGCTAGGGCAGGGAGGCTACCCTAAAGTGGAATGAGAATGAAGAAAGAGCTGGATATTGGGGCTTTCCTTCTTTTCAAGAACAACTTTGGTAGAATAAGTGTTTTTCAGAGATGGAAAATAGAAAACCTGCCATCTCTACCTTACAATCCTCCCTGTTTCTCTCACCTGTGATGCTCCCTTGCTCTGTAGGCCCAACGCCGCATCTCTGATGATGACCTTACCGTCCACCTCTCTGCACCGAATGATACTATTGTCATCAACAACACAATGGGCTCCAACCGGCACTCCAACCGATATGAACGTATCCTTTCGGGTGAAACTGAATACCAGGAACCCAGCAGGGCCCGCATGAAACTTCCAGAACTTCCTCACAGTGCTGAGAATTCTGGTAAGAGGCTGATATGCGTAGAGCCACTGTAGAAATAATGGGTGAACATCCTTGCCAATATTGTTGTGCGTTGTTTTTTTATAGTAATGTTATTAAAAATTACAATTACAAAGATAAAAACTAATACAAACCAAAAAAGAAAAGAAAAGAAAAAATAGAAACTGCAGAAAAGAAAAATATAGGGAAAAAAAGAAAAAATAATGTCATAAAGAAAAGAAATATATAAAGAAATGACTTCCCCCTTCATTAGAACAAGTATAAACAATTTTAGTAACTTATGACCTTCTCTTAAAATACAACAGATGACCTCTTCTTCCCATATCTCATCTCTTACCTGTAAACAGATCCTTAAAGTTTCATCGTTTTAGTCCTGATCAGCAAAAGTCCAAAGGGTTACCAGAGATAACATACATCTATTTTAACCTTGATCAAATAAATCAACTTTATATTCATTCCTTTTACTTTTAACAATCTTGATCTTTAGTCCCTTCAAATAATTTCCTAGACCTTGATTTCTTTTCATTTTTTCTTTGTCTCTTCTCACAAAATTCTACAAAGCTTTAACCAGCCTCTTTTGTAAATCCAATATAGGAAAATTTTCCAGGTCACTGTCTTGGTCTGTTATTTGTATATTCCTTTTAATCATTAAGACATCAGCCAGTTTCTTTTGTATGTCCAGTGTAGCATCTTTTTCCATAGCATTCTTGTAGCCTGTCATTTTTAAATCCAGTTTCAGATCAGTTTCAGTCTTGCCAGGTAAAACTTGTTCCTCTTTCATAACAACTTTTAAACACAGTCTATCTGTAGAGGTAGGCACTCTTGAAATTAACTTCTGGGTCCATTGTTCAAAAATATCCTTCA